AACAGCAGACTTCTGATCCTTGCAAAGAACCTTTCGGTGATGGCCTTCATCTTGGCCATTTATGCCTTCAAATCACCTATTTCTTTCGTTAACGTCTCCCAGTTGGCCTCAGACGGCTTTTTCGTCGGCTTCTTCTTTTTCCTCTGGGTTAGCTGCTCTGGGTTTCCCGTAGCGGGTGCCCGCTCACCCTTGGCATTTCCCTGCGCTGCATTCTGGGAGAACTGCTCTTGCCGATCGTTTGCGTCCAGTATCCTTAATCAAAGAGAGCCTAGCAGTAAGCGAACGCACTCTTCAGTAAACATTACAGAGCGTGTGCACCTCCATTTTAGGCTTTCGTGCTTCGCGTGCAGTTAGCAAACCTGCTTTGTTAAGTTCGAACACAGCTGATGATAACAATCCTGGCACCTATTGCACTGGATACCAGAAATCACAACTTTCTGAGAAGCCTTATTACCGGATGTGTTACGGTGGTACTGGACAGCCATTTTACAGGTGATTCCTTCTCGAATGGGAAAGAGTATGCAATTCCAAATTCCAAGCTTATCGGTGAAAAAACACAAAACGGATAAAATCACACTAACGGGCCGCACAAAAACGGTCAAAATACTATGGTAAAAACACCTGTCGGAGAGTTAAATTTTTCGAATGAAAGTAGACCTCAGTAAATATTAAGATCCGGTAAATCTGTGAAATAACTAAGGTTATTTCACGACTCAACGTAAATAAAATCGTAAGCAGCAGAGCAGCTCAAACATTTAAACCATAAGGTAACTCACAAGGTCAGTTCAGTTCAGTTCAGTTTTCACAGGACGAATATGGCTCTTGCCAATCGAGCGTCCAGTTCGTTGTGTTGTCGGCGGATGGGAGCAGCTTCCAACAATACGTACAGTTGAATAGGTGTTTGTGATCCTCTCAATTTAGCCCCGTTGCCAGAACGTTGACTCCTTGAGGGTATGCTGAAAGGGAGGAAAGCAAGCAAGGATATTTTTTCGCCTCATTGGTTAGAAACCTCAAGTACACATGCGTTCGTATACACAGATCACATGTGACAGGACAGTCAGTTTTAGAATAATTCTAAAAGTGAAGCCCAAGTTTACACCATTTAAAAAATTCCGGCTAAAGTAGAATTTGTTCCTTATGTTCCCACTCTGAATACTAACTTCGGGGAACGTTTCTGACCAACATACGTCCAGGGCCACTTTGAACGTGTTAACATTGGTGCAGTTGACCACTTCTGTTCTACATAGGTATGACCCTGTGTGCGAAGAAGTTTGCCCGTACTTCCAAACTGGCGTGGTTCTGCTGAAGTTTATAACCGTGACCTCTCTTGTTCTAAGCACAAGAAATCGTAAACAAGTCTACTAGGTTGAGTCCTGATAGACCTTTCACAATTTTGATAGTCTCTATCAGATCTCCCCTCGCCTTTCTACGCTGCAGCGAAAAGAGATCAAGATCTCTCAACCGCTGCTCATAGCTTTTCCCCTTTTGTCCAGCCACCATTCGGATAGCTAGGTGCTGCACTCTTTCTAAACAAGATACAGCCCTCTTGTAATACGGTGTCCATGCCTGCACACAATATTCCATGTGTGGGCAAACAATCGACGTATACAGGAGGAGAAACACCTCAGGCCGTCTGCATGTTACTGTAGCACCCATCCCGAAAAGCTGCCCCCTAGCCTGATTTGCAGCCTTGAAGCACTGGGTTGATGGTTTAAAATCCTGGGTTATAAGAACCACTAGGTCCCTCCTCTGCGGGGCCTGCTGCATTGGAGCTCCATTCAACGGGTATACCCCCGCTCTCGTTGCTAAGAACNCTCGACCGACCATCGATGGACTACATCTAGGTCCCTTTGCAGGTTTAACTCCATCATCAGCAAATATGAAGCACTGATTTTGAAGATCCTGTGCCAGATCGTTGATGAATATGAGAAAAAGTAATGGGCCTAGCACTGAGCTCTGGGGAACTCCACTCGTAACCACCTCATGGTTAGAAATGTAGTCACCCACATAGACCCGGAAGGTGCGGTTGTTCAAAAAGGCTACAATCCAGTCCCTAGCTCCACCTGTTATGCCTAGGCTCCGAACTTTGAAGTCCAACAATCGATGGCTGACAGTCAAATGCTTTACAGAAGTCTAAGTAACAAACCTACACATTTTTCTCCTCATCCATACGTTGAGTGACTTCGTCTAGAAATACAAGCAGGTTCGTAGGACATGATTTCCGTTGCACAAAGCCATGTTGTGCCGGTGACAGGAGTCGATTGCTAGTCAGGTGCATGCAAATCTGCTTTCTGATTAATCGCTGTAGGCACTTACACAACACTGACGTTAGGCTAACGGGTCTGTAGTTTTCTGCTTTGTATTTTGGTCCAGCCTTGTGAAGTGCTACTACGCTAGCTGTACGCCAGTTCTGGGGTATCGTAGCAGTTTGCACTGAGCCCCTAAACATTACAGTCAGCGGCCCGGCTAGCACCTCGGCCAGCGGCTGCACTATGGCTGGATGGATTCCATCCGGACCTGCTGACTTGTACTTTTTCAGCGTCTGGAGTTCTCGGTGTAAATCTGTTTCACAGATGACAATATCAGCAAACTCTGACGTATCAGCTAATCCTGCTAAACCCGAGTAATCATAGTAGACTGGGGTCCTATACACACTCTTGAAGAACTTAAGCAGGGTTTTCACTTTATCGCGATTACACGTAGCTGTGCCTCCATCGGAAAATGCTAATGCTCCTATATTCTCCCGTGTGCGTGCATTGGCTGCCACGTACGCATAGCGGCTTTTGGGATTGACGCCTCGGGCTAAGTTAAACTCGAAGTCATATTTGGCACGCCCTTGGAGGTCATGACATCTATTTCGCACCCGCTTTTAGTCACTCCAGGCTTAATTAGTGCTGTGAAGCCCAAAGCGATCCCAGTATTGTCTGCGAATTTTCCGCACTCTCTCTATCCCGGATTTCCACCATATTGAGCGATGTCTTCTTCGTCCTTCCCTCAGTGGCGCGAACCTTTCTGTGAGGTTAGCTAACCCTCTTTTAACTACGTCCCATCTATCTTGCACGG